GGGGGGTCAGGTGTGTGTTCCGGAGCCGAGATGGACGGAACAACGGGGCTCTTTCAAAGCTCCGCTGACATCATCGATATGAGACTCAGTGATGCAAGATGAAGGGGAATCCCCCGTCTTACAATTCAGGCCCCTCCCCCTTACCCCCGCCTCGCCGTCCCAGCGCAGAGGAAGAGCGAGCAAGACTTTGACGTGCTTCACACGAATGAAAGCAGTTACTGTTTCCATCACTGAATGGACACTGTAGACGGCGTTGGGCTTACGTTCAGGGTGTCCTGCAGCGGAGAGCTGACACAAGACGCCAAGGAAAGTTTTGGACGTTCGTGCATCGCGCTTGAACGCGGCTTCTTGACTACAATCGCAAATTGAAAGATGAAAAGTTGCAGGGGGGGGGGGGTTTAAAGCCACGACATTTGTCGCGATCTGCTTTGGGGCTGACGGACTTCTGTTGACGCGCCACGCTTGTTGGGTGGAATTTGTGTCAAGTTGTGGCAGGAGTGGACGCTTCAAAGTCAAAACCTTTCGCCAGTTCACGACTCGACTCGACGTCGATTCAAAAGACCTTTCGTATTGATCCATGATTGCCTCTGCTTTGGCAAAAGCCTGACCGATGAGACCAAAACATTTCTGTTGAACAAATCTGATCCTGTTCATAATCCTAGAGCTGAATTTCCTTGTTTTTGTCCAAAAAATTAATGGCTTGGAAAAAAAAAAAGAATAATAATTGCACCGTCAATAATGAGGGGGGGGGGGGAATCACAATTTCTACTCATGACAACTAGTCACTGCAACTAAAAATGAAGACCAAGGATTGACGTTGCATTTTCCGAAAACCAAGATCGACGTTCCGCGTTCCTAAAAAGCAAGGCCGACGATGGATGGATGGATGGATGCCGCCGCTTACGAAAAGGACGCTGCTCGTTCCTTGAGGGACGCCAAAACTAGTTTGCACTTTACTGAAGGGAAGAAAAATGAACAATCGATGATGCTCTTTGATCAAGGGAAGACAAACTACTGGTGTTGCAGCTTTCTAAAAACCACAACAAACTATTGCACGACACACACACACACATACACACACACACACACACACACACACGCACACACGCACGCATACATGTATGGACATCGCTATGACAACGGGACAACGGGCAAGGAATACTGACCCTGGATGCATTGCAGCGAGCCGTCCTCCGCCCGGATGGTGAACGTCTCCCCCGGGTTCACCTGTACCAGGATAACCTGCGTCCACACACACACACACACACACACACACACACACGGACAAGTTTAGATGCGCAGAAGAAGAGGACATCACGTCGCCCAATAGGCCGAGTGACAGTTGGCGGTGACATAACGCGGCCGCGAACAGCGCGGCGGCCCCCCCCCCCCCGCAACGTCCCCGCCCTACCGTCATATTGTCGGCGTGCAGATGGTCGAGCGTGTACACGTGGCTGCAGACGTGAAACAGGTGACCCTCCATCGCGCTCGCACGCACCCCCCCGCACGCGGCGCCGCTTATGCGCTACAGGTGCACGGCGGTCGGAAAAATGACGCTCGTATCCTGCCTTTGGAGTCGGCGCGCTCGCCCATCGCCGCGCCGAGCCGCTCCTCTTGCTCACGCACGCACAGTCGCACACTTCCTGCCCTGACGGCTGCTGCAGCGGCGGCGGCGGCTGCTGTTGCTATGGGAACCACCGTGGAGTACAGGGTGACCCACGTTCGCCGAGGGCTGAGAAAACCCCCTCCGCCAGACCGTGTGGGCGGAGGCCCCGTGCGGAGTGGCTGAGCTACTTTACCGCAGATGCCGACCTTTAAGTTCTTGTGCCAATGCGAAAAAACTGTCACCAAATAACATGATATCTCCTGCCGCTGATTTTGACGTGCGTCGACTTCCATATAATTCATCCGAGGCACGTCATTCCAATTAAAAATAAAATAAAATCACTACTCGCGGGCTATTATTTTTCTCATACCAAAATGTTTTCCCCAAATTCGGCATTTTTATCCAAAAAGTCTCAATTGTTACCATTTGAAATTCATAACAGTCCGCTCATTCAATTCGCCTTGGGAAGATTTTTCAAAAAGATTGACACATGTCAAATATTTCACATTGTTCACAGTCACATTCCGAATTTTTCCACCAAAAATATTCACAAATTTCCCCAATCTCCCACGATTCACTGCCTATGTTCTTTCACTGATTCACGCATTCCAATATCCCAAAAATTCATGTTCAAGGGTACTATTTTTCTCACGCCAAAAATTCGAAATTTTTCCAAAATTCGAAATTTTAAGAGGAATGTCCCTTTATTTGTTTATTTATTTATTTTAAATACTGTAAGCGTCAAAAAATTCACATAATAATTACAAAGTGTCAGCACAATAATTAGGAGACAGACAGTGAGTGTGGGGGGAACATCTGTAAAATTATTGAGGCAATGTGAGGCACGCATGCCAACAGTCCTGACAGTTGCAAAAAAAAAAAAAAAAAACATTAAAAGGTGACTTGATTATTAAATAAACCCCTTTTTCTTATTTTCCATCCACGTTTGGCCTTTTTTGTATTTTACTTCTTCTAGAAATGACCACAGCCATCTGTCAGTTTTATAAAAATTCGAAAGTTTGCCAGCGCCCGATATAAACAGTACATTTCGGGAAGACAGACAAGCCATCAGACTCAACACACACACACACACGAGCGCACGCGCGTAGATAAATGTGTATAATCATTGGTCTCCATCTTTGGTTGCACACTAAGTTTAGGCTGCGAGGCTTTGGAGTTTAAAAAAAAAAAAAAATACAAATAAAAAGAAATGCTCTAACTGCCAGCGTGCCGCTGCCCAAAAAAAGAAAAAAAAAGCCCCACCCCCTCCAAAGCCAAGCACCTCCAACACCAGCGGAAGGAAAGAGAGTCGGCGTGGTCCAGGAGCGGTTTGCCTGCTTCAGACGCAGCAGAAGCATCGTTAAAAAGATTCTTTTTTTCTTTATTATTGTTTGACTTTCTACTATTCAAGTCTGCAGTACGCCTTTGTCTCCGACATCACCTAAGTGCTGAGTAATGAAGCTAAAATTAGATTCGATTTTATAACGGTTTGGACATGTCAGTGTCCCAACAGGATGTGACTAAGCAATAAGAGACCGTGCTGAGTGTTGGTGTGTGTGTCTGTTCTTGTCACTCCATGTTGCGCCACCCTTGACAGTCAGCTTTAAGTGTGTGTGTGTGTGTGTGGGGGGGGGGGGGCACGTTTCTCATTTTTCTATATTAGTGTGCCCCCACTATTTACACTCACCCTTAACTGAAGGGACTTTTTTTTTGTGGGGATATTTTGGCTGTTCTCCACAGGAAAAATGACGTATGTATGTTTGTTCTTGTTTTTCTGCTGTAGTGTGGACCCATCCTTAAGATCCAGCCTTTTAAAGGTACACATTGGCTGGTCTACACAAGAAAAAAAAGTCTGCTTACAAGTGTGTATGGTCTTGTCTTTCTCGGTTAGAGTGGTCCCACCATAGATGCTTCCCCATAATCGAAGGGACATCTTAGTTAGAACTGTGGCTTGTGCGTGTGTGTGTGTGTGTGTGTGTGTGTGCGTGTGTGTGTGTGTGTGTGTGTGTGTGTGTGTGTGTGTGTGTGTTCTCAATTTTTTTTAAATTCCACCTTTACTGATGGGACATTGTTTTTTATGGGCTGGTCCCCATCAGAACAATGCTAGCACGAGTGTGTGTGTGTGTGTGTGTGTGTGTGTGTGTATTCTTGTCTTTTTATATTCGTTTGGCACCACACTTGGGCATACCAATTTGTTGTGGAGCCCTTTATGCTATATCAGGGTATTTTTGCTGGTACACACAAGATAAATGTGTTTAAGTTCTTGTCAGTCGGTCTTAGTGCGGCACCACCCATGAGCACAGCGGCGTGTCAGACAGGAGAGCGAATTAGTACACTTGCAAAATGACTGTGTGTGTGTGTGTGAGTGCGTGTTTACCTGCTGCGCTGCATCACCGTTAACCATGTGCGGCATGAGCGGCACCTCCCCATTCAGGAGAGGCGGCGGAGCCAAGTCCAGTGGAATCTGGTCTGTCATCATCATTGTGACGTACATTCATGGAGAAATTCACTCAACTGCCCTACCTGGGAAAGTACAGAGAGGAGAGAGACGTGAGTCAGGCGCGCATGTATGTACATGATGTCATGTTGCATTTCCCTTTGACGCGGAGCGCATGCCGAAATGTTGCCATCATTTGGTTTCCTCATGGCAAACCGAGCCCCACAGAGTGGCCGTGCGTGGCCTTTTTGTAATTCATACAGAGCGCAAACAGTCCAGTGCCAAACAAAACAAAGATTTGCATCTGGCGGCGGATGACTTTTTCAGACCTCTGCAGAGGGAGATGAGATCGGTGGACGAGATTCTTTTATATTTTGTGAAATTAGCCAATCAAAATTCGGAAAATCGGCGCCAATCCATTTTCCGTCTGATCGATCTGTGCACCCCAAATAATATTGGTCATTTTTCACCAAAGATAACAAATATATAGCCGTGAGTATTGTGATGCTCTCTGTCTGCATGTGTTGCACCACCTTTTGTGTTTGAAGTCAGTGTTGCGTCCCCCGTTTTGAGTTCTCTTTATGTTGAGTTTGACAGTAGACTTTAACTGGGAGTTGAGGAAATAAATGCCGTTCCGTGGTAAATGAGTGTCAACAACAACAACAACAACAAAAATAAAATAAAATTGTGACTGTAGAATGCACTGGTGTTTTTAATATTTCGACCCGTTCATGTAACGAACTAGCCATAGGATTAGAACCTCACCACACGCATGCACACACGCACGCAGCTGCGTGTCACCGTACGTCTTCGCTTTTAGCCGGACATCCTCTCGCACCAACGAGGTCTTCAAGAGGGTTAGTAGATCACACAGCTGCGGCTCGCACTGTTGAACCATAAACACGTCGAGCCGCACGTACATACGTCTGCGCGCATGCACGCACACGCCGACGTCAGCCCCTTGCCATGATGGCTCTGCCTCAGCAGTTCTAATCGCATGTTGCGCTCCAACCGCAAAGTCTTTTTCTCCAGCCGAGCCCCGCTCCCAGCTCGGCCTGGCCATCCTGCCTCCAACAGACACACACACACACACACACACACACACACACACACACACACACACACACACACATACATACGCAGCTTCCAGGACACATCATAGACAGATGGTAACACCACTCCCGATTCTTCCAGGAAAAAGAGAAGAGCAAAGACAGCAAGAGAAAGAGGAGAAAGAGGTTACACACAACCTCAGTCTAAAGTTAGCTTAGCATAGAAATAGCCCCAGATGTGTATTTTCTATGTGCTCCTTTAGGAAAGTGACCAAAATAAATAAATAAATAAAAATCAGGACAAAATTGCAATGATGCCACAGACCAAATAAGAAGTCCAGAACTCAACTGGCCTCAAGTTCAGCTGTGTTTCGCTCTTATGGGAAGAAAACCCACCTCCCAAGCACAAGAAGAGCAGCGGGGAAATTGACTGGGAACAGCAGCAAGCAATTGTAGAAGGAAGAAGTTGCACTGCCCAAGTCCGCTCATCGTTTTGATTGATTGCGCCGCTCATGACTCGAAGACCTTTGATAAAACTTTGGGAAAATGATGTAACCACAACCGTTTGCTTTTGTTGAATATTAAAGGCTTTTTGTTTGGCCGGGACTAGGGGGGGTTGACTTGGATGTGGACAGCTGATCATGACCATACCATTAACACATGGTCATAAAGTAGCCATTTTTGTGTGTGTATATTCAATTAGCGATTAACAATGGCTTGGGGTTGGGCTGCGGAGTATAACGAACTTGATCACTCAAGTGAGATGGTTTTTGTTTTTTTTTTAATTTCCTGAAAAGTAGAGAGAATACCGCCCGGCAACGATGATCGATATCCACATAAGATATTTTATACACAAACACGCCGAGTGCACTTGGCATATTCAAAAGCAAAACTGCACGCCGTGGGGTAAGGAGCTTTGTTGGTCACTTCTCAGAGCATTTACAGCTAATACGAAACAGGTTAAGTCCAACTTAGCCTCAAAATGAATAGGTGAGCTTTTGTCTGGTCGAGGTGGTGACTCGCTCTAATCTCATTTTTGTTGTGTCTGCCGCCGTTCGTTCGGGTGGCCTTCCAGGAGGCGTGCGGATGACTTTTTCGCCCAACGCTAATGATGTGGCTGATAAACGGATGCGCCCGGTCGGTGAACTCCATCTCGGCTCAATTCACAACGAGGAGCAACAAAAACAAAAACAAAAAAAAGGCTTCCAGCTATCCAATTCCACTGCCAGTTGAACTTTATACTGGAACTGGAAAAGTAAACATGAAACATGAAGAATTAGACGTGCTTTTAAAACAACCAAATCATGCTACGCACAATGCAAAATCGAAGGGGGTGAAGGATAACTCTCTCGAATATCTTTGACCAAAACTACTGCCGACAGCATGAACACGTCATCCTGAAATCATGTTCAATCGTGAATTAACACACACAAAAGACAACCCCCCCCCTCCCCGCATTCATTATGCTGACATGATATAATACAGCACCTGTTACGACTGTTAGCGGCTAGTGGCCAGCAGCTAGCCGCTAATCAAATGCCCCATATCGGCGAGCAAGAGTCGTCACGCTACTTTTCGAAAGCAGTTTCAAAGGTGAAAAAGACTCTGCACACTTTGATGCTGACAGCCTGACATCGTTTCAGTTCCTACTGATCCGTTTTTAAACAAACCAGACTAACTCCAGTGTCCTGTTTAAAAAAACAAAACAAAAAACAAAGAAATTCACAAAAATCGCTTCTTACATTGCCCCAAAGGCTCACGTCTCACAAACTAATGTTGACAGCCAAGAAAGTATCGTTTGCTGCTATGCACAGTTTCAATTTCAGAAAGCAAAATGTCGCTTATCTAAAAATTAAAATCAATCGGTTATTCAAAATGTGTCATTTTCTGTTCTGTATTCCAAGTACACAATTTTTCAATCGAAACAGGCTAACAGAATACCAAAATATTCGATAGCCGCAACCCTGCAACGGGGGGTTTGGACGCAGCAAGAAGTTGTCCAGTTATGTAACAATACTCATCTCACAGTGGTTGTGAAAGTCTTCTTCATTTGTGTCTCCATGACTGCCTGCGCTGCCCCCTGGTGACCAATTTGAGCCTACCGGAAGGAGTCGCAACTCAGGCACACACTGTCGAAACGCCCACTTTTTTTTTTTTTTTTGTCTCAGCGGATAATCAACAGGTCAAAGAGGCGAAGCAGCAGACCTGGCGAATATTCATGTGCACTTTTTGCACTCAAACTCGCCTCACGCACTTCCACAGCTGCTGCAGCTTGACGCCTTCGCATCATTTGAGTCGGCCACTTGCGCCTGGGATGCATTCGAGTCCCTTTAACGCCCGATCAGCTGACAACTTTAATCTTTGCTGGCATTTGATTGGTAAAGGACGCGCGCGCGCGCGTGTGTGTGTGTGTGTGTGTGTGTGTTTAACTTTAAAAAAAAAAAAAGAAAAGAAGAAAAAGGGGGTCGGAGCTGCTAAATATGGTGGGAAACTGCCACCAGCACCACTCCCATTCAAGTCCGGCTCCTTTTACAAAAAGGTATTCAGTGAACAAGGGGATCTCTCTCTCTCTCTCTCTCTCTCTCTCTCTCTCTCTCTCTCTTTCACACATACACACACCCACACACACACACACACACACACACACACACATTGTGTGAGTACCTTCTTAGCTGAGGTGGAGTGGAGGAGACACGGAGATACGGCAAAGGGGGGTGGAGGGGTGGAAAGGAATGTTGTGCTGGAACACACACACACACACACACACACACACACACACACACACACACACACACACATGCGCGCGGGCAAGACAGAGGGAGGATTTATAAACGATGGACGCTGTGGAGGTTTCCCACATAGCACCTACGCAGCCGGTGTGATTGCATCGAGCGCCGCCGTCATCCGACCTGGTCATGGCAGTCATGACACGTCATCCGCAGGGGAAGGATGGGCGGAGCGGAATGTAAACGGACACCGGCTCACAACAAGCAAACACACAATCACGCAAAGATTTCCATAACCGTGTTACAACAGGTTTCTCGGCACCCCCTCCCCCCCCTCGGGGTGTCCAAAGCAGGACATGACACCTCGACAAAAACCGCATATGAAGCGTCTCTGCTTCTCATTCCAAACGTTTCATTGATGTGAGATAAGACGGGAAGCCCAAACAAAACATTCCCTCAAAAGTAGGCCAAGAGACTCCAGTTAAAAAAAAAAAAGGGTGAAGCAAAGTTTTGGGATATTTTAGTTATTTGGTACTTCCTGGGACCAGAATTTTTCCAATCAGATGCTTTCAGCGCAATACACTTGAGCCTACTTTCTCAAGAGGTCCCTAGACCTTGAGAAAGTAACAAACCCCTTGTAGAAGGGTCAGATTAGGAACATTTATCGAAGAAAATCCACACCTCATACAAATATTCCCAAACAAAGAATGAAATTGAAGCCCCATTTGAAAATAAGATACTATGAATCTTTGGTTTTCAGTATTTGGGACTGAGACTGGAAGCAGAAACAAAACATTCCCTTCAAGCCAGATTTTCAAAGCAAAGCAAAAAAAAAAAAAAAACAGCAAAACTTGGTTCTTGGTCCATCATCGGATCCCACAGACGTAGACGCAAACAAAATCCACACAAAAATATTGATTTAAGAACAAAAGCGCACCGACAAGGTATAAACAAAAATCGCTGATCAAAAAAGGAACCAGGAAAAACAATCCATGAACAAAAAGCGCTTGCAAAGGCAATGAAATAGTTCAATCCGAGATTATAAACGAAATGACTGGAGTCCAATTTCGCCAAACAAAAAAAAATGAGCGAGATCATTTTTTGTATGAAAAAAAAAGTTCGTAAGTGTTCAATCCGAGATTATAAACGAAATGACTGGAGTCGAATTTCGCCAAACAAAAAAAATGAGCGAGATCATTTTTCGTATGGAAAAAAAAAAGTTCGTAAGCCGAGGTATAAGACATCCTTGGCATCAAGTCAAAACAAGCCGCATTTAAAAGTAAACATCCAGAAACTTTTAGTTCCTGA